ATTGCAAGTTGTGGAGAAGTCAGGTGAAATGACAGTTACTAGTGAGAAAATGGTATTGGTGTGGTGATATTGAGAGCGCCAGCACTATGGCTGAACGGCGACTGAGCGTTGCTGTGAGCTACCGTACCAACCGAATCTTACCGTGATATTGTGTGCGTGAGTTTTATTTGGGCTGTAGTCAGACAGATTTGACATATATAAATATATTTGTAGCGATCATTTTCCAGCACACAAGACTAGTACACAGAGGCTTTTGTTCGCCATGCACTACCTGTTAACTTGAAACTGACAGCAGTGATTCGGGGACTGGTGATCATTTTTCTTACATTCACTTTCTCTTCTAGATTATGGTACCGTCCAACTCATATAATAAATACCGAGAAACTAGGCCATCACCTAGGAAGTTCACTCCGGTCAATCCTTATAAATTTGATTTATCTAATCGCACCACCTGTGTGCGTGCTTATATAAGTTGGCTCTGTGTCTCTTGTAATTTAAGATCAAATATTGGCAAACTCAACCCCTGTTTGTTCGCTAGTCTACTAAGTTCAAATACACCCATATCTTGTCTCATTTAATCATTTGTTGTCACCACCCTGCTAGCGGTAGACGTCAAGTTTTTCCTTCAATGTATATTAATGCACATTATCCCGTGTGATGTCTCTTCGAACACACCACGCCTTACTAGCCCCATATCATGCCCTTATCTTCTCAAGCCTTGAACTTTGATATTATCCACTCCACCTGGTCTATGACCTACGTTCACGGGATCCTCAAACGGAATAAAAAACGGCGATCTAATATCAGCTTCGTTCTACCTTTGCTTTCTCGGCTAGCTTGAAAAGAATTCCACTACTCACAGAATCTCACGTCCCTGTGCAATGGCCTTAAACGTAACGTCTTCTACTGGACTGTTCAAAAACGGAAGTATATCAGGCACTGCCATACCCACATTGATAGTACACCCGCAACTATTCCTTTCCTTCACCTGACCGTACACCCTGGCCCACTCGTTCCATTAACTGTGAATACGAACAGGCTGTTCACCGGACTATAGCTACCCCATGGCATGATCATTCTAATCTACTGAACCTTTTCCTCGAACTTAGCCAAATCTATGCATCTTTGCTTCCGGTTAACTTCAGAAAATTTTCATAGAATTTGTGTTCCGGCTTATGTGTTGCCATCATCTCACTCTCCCAAGTAACTACTACGCCCGGCCTCAAAGCAGCGACACCAGTGAGTTCCTCCAGTTTCACTGTACGGCATGTCTCCGAGATGCCTGTTACCACTTATCTGCTTCGCTACTCCCTTCACTTCATCATACCCACTTGCGCTTCCTGTGCCCCTGGCCATGAGCCCAACAGTAGAAGGCTACTAGGACTTAGCAGTAGTTTTAGGTTTTAGTTGAATTTGGCTGACTGGATGACGCCAACTCCACCTCTTCAACGGATCTGATGTTCTGGTTCCCCTTTTTTCACTGTTTGCACTTTCCTTGTGGGTCCTGCGGGGAACCTGCTGTTTTACCCCTCTTGCTTCGTTTTGTGCCCACCACCTTCAAACCTGCTCGATATTTTTCACAAAAAACGCATATTAACTGTGCTTTATTGTCCGAACCTGTTTGGTGATGACCCCGCTTACATTGTACAATGCTCCCCTTTTATGACGCTGCCGCTTTCCTGAACCCCATGTACCCGCAATCATCCAGCCATGCTTTTATTCTGACTGTAACATTATGATCATGCCCAGTGGTGTGCCACCCACAAGTTAAGAATGAACATTATCATTACTATCATGTTTTCTTTCTCTATCAATGCACATTGCCCCATATGATGTCTCCTCAAACTAATCACGGGCTACTAGACTCATCGTGCTCCCTCGTTTCCCCAAGCTTTGAACCTCAACAATACGACCTGTGCGACCTGGTTGGCTGTTATCCACCTAGCTGGTCTATGATTTACATCCACATGGAACCCCAACTGCACCAAGAAACCTGCATTTTTCTACCGGTTTTGTTCCGCCTTCGAGGGTTTCGTTAGCCGACCTGAAAAATTTCCGCTGCTCAAACAATCACACATCCTATCACAATCGCCTCAGGCATGACGTCTGTCAAGGGTTCATGGTATCAGCGCAGAAGTCTGTCATACGATAGGATTCAGTTCCCGCTTACGATTCAACCCAATGTTACAAAATTTTAACCTCATAAAAATCGTGTTTTCTGGACTGAATGTAGCCCTGTAAAGGGTATCGGGGCATCCAATTCATGAAAAATTCTACACCAAGTTCCCATCACCTCAGGATTCTATACTATGTGTTGGCTTCAGTGCACCAGTCTTAAGCTTGTCCGTAGTTGGAAGAACAACGTCGTTGCAACAGCCATGAGGGGCCCGCTTGGGTGGGCTTTCATAAACTGATCGAGGTCAAAATCATAGAATATTCTTGGCCGGTCGCTTGATGGACAGAGGGCAACCCTTGCAAAATTAGGTGTTTCATGCTGCTTTCGGACTTGCGTGGCCCCAGCAAATTCAGTTTGCCGAATAACCATTCGGGAAGCTTGTAGAATTCTTATGTGTGTGGCCTCTGTGGCTGGAAAAACAGAGACTGAGTTACACGACTTTCTTTTGCGTTGTATTCACCTAGCAACCGGTGGTTAATTACAGATCGACTAGGGCAATTATACTTGATAACTCAACTTATTTTAGACTCACTGAATACCTGAAAAAGGTGAAGGCATTTTAATCACATAAATAGGTAGAAAGTACAGGCGCAGAATCCAGCCGAAGTGTCAACTGTTTGTACAAGAAAATAGCTGTCATGTAAAACTTGTTTCTCGCCATGATGCGATCCATCCGATGATAATCAGAATTGGCTTGCGCGCTGCAGTGTGTCCACTGACTTTGTTGGTGGCATTTCTCTTCGTGTGTTTGACCACAAGAAGAGCATTACTCTTACCTTTCCAAATTGCTCGCCGGCCGAAATGGTAAGTGGCGTGCAACTCATACGCGTGTAAGAGCCAACTGCTGCGCCGGGAAGACGTCGAGATGACCTGCTGCGGGCTCCCGGCATGCTGTCAGCACGTCTCCGGAATGTACCAACCCACGCTACTTATGAGTGGCGCAACTGCGACTGATGTAAAACCAGTGGGCACTCAAATAGGAGGCAAAGCCGCGGTCAGTTCCGCGCAATACTTATAGATCAATGCCAAGTTCAGTTGGCTGAAATTCGGTTGGTGGCCCACATTCGGTCGTGTTATTAAGGCGGTTCACGTGGTAGAATGTGTGTCAGCTGCAGCTAGAAATATTCCGCAAAAAATGACTGGGCTAAACTGGGAGTCACGTGCTTTATAAAGGAATACTCTGCGTAAGAAACGCGTAAAATTATGTCACGGACAAACGCAGCTCTGACGGCCTGCGAAGCCAAAAAGACAGATTTTAGGAGCCAACGCCAGCACATGGATAAATTTTCGTCGTTCTGAAAGAAGCAACAACCAGTCATCCACTTACTGTAGAAGAAGCCAAGCAACCGCCTGGTTAACAGTGGAGGTCAGCCTTCGAGGTGGTGGATGTAAATAACCCGGACATCTTTCGAATTTCATTTGCAGCGTGTTGCCGCGCATCCGGGTACAAAACCCCGTACTTTAGTCACACACTGTACTTCGTTAATTCATCGCATATCAGGTGCCGTTTGACAGGATGCCTGTTGAAACTTAACGTCCTTATTTTGTCGTTGTACTCGAAGCTGTGGGAAGTCACTATCAAAGGATCATTATTCCGGAAACGACAGGACATCATTGGGCCCCCAGTACAGTGTGTGCTATCGGTAATAAACCTTCATGATAAACCCGCTAGCCAGAAAAAGCCACGGACTTGGCTATGTTTGACGGTATATCTCCTGCAAATGTAGCATGCCTTTCGTACAAACTCTGAGGATCGCTGCTCCTTTTTGAGTTCACGGATTCACGGATTCACGGATTGATACACAGGATCGAGGCTTTTGCCCAAGTTTCCCGGGTTGGTTTTGTTCTTGTCGGTCAGTGGCTGTCGTTCACCTGAAAGGCACAAGTGAAAAAAGGGTGTAGCACTGCTCTTTATGTTCTCAGCGCGGGGCAGTATGCTCGCCAGCGCGAGGATTCGCATAAATAAATGTCTAATAGTGCTTTAAATTGGGTTCGAGAAGGAGCGTGTACAACCGTCGGAGGAAGGTCATTCCACGCAGCTACTACCCGAAATGAAAAAAAGTTTTGTCTAACGGATGTGTGTGCCCTGAGCTTGAAGATTTTCTTACTATGTCCCCGCCGGGTGTTTGCTGGGTCAACGGTAAAAAACCTGTTTGCCAAGCTTTGTTCAAACAGGGCGTAAGTAAGAATTAGGTCCCCTCGGAGGCGACGGTACTCCAGGGGAAAGAGATCAAGCGTCGCGAGACGCGTTTCGTAGTCCACGGACTTGAGGCCGGCAACCATTCTCGTGGCGGCCCGCTGGACACGCTCAATGAGGGTAACGTCTTTCGTACGTCCTGAGTAGACAACTTGGTTGGCGTACTCCAGGAGCGGTCTGACGTAGGCCCCATAGAGTATTTGGAAGTCCATGCGAGTAATACGGGAGAAGGTACGTCGGATCATCCGTAAAACGGCGAATGCCTTTTGGGCCGATTTCTCATGGTGTAGTGCGAAGGACAAGTTTGAGGAGACCCAGATGCCTAAATCTTTTTTGGCATCTATCCTCATGATGTTTTCTGGTCCCTTTTCACCATGCATAACAAAGGCATTTGCTGCATCCCCTCCAAACGACACATGGACGCACTTTTCATCATTCAGAGGAAGGTGCCAGTCCAACGACCACTGCTTGGCAGCGTCTACATCCAGTTGGAGGGCACTGGCATTGGAACTCCAGGATTTCAAGTCGTCCGCAAAAAGTAAACATGGACTCGCAAGAACGTCTGGGAGGTCGTTGACGTAGATCGGAAACACGAGTGATCCCAAGACGGAGCCTTGAGAAACTCCAATGGAGAAGAGTAGGTCGAGCCTATTCTCAGTCGGAATGATCTGTCTGATAGGAACGCCTTGATCCAGCGAAGGATTTTACCTTGAATCCCGTAAGACTCGAGTTTGTGAATCAGCGGGACGTGTGAGACCCTATCAAATGCTTCTGAGAAGCCGAAAAATATGGCATCCGATATGAGTCCTTCGTCCTTGGCTTGGGTTAAGCCGTCCATAGACACGAGCATGCTTGACACGCAAGAGTGGTTTGGGAGAAATTCGTGTTGAGCTGGAGATATCAGATTACTGGAAGTAAGGTGATCTATAATAGCTCGCTTCAGAATGCGTTCCATCACCTTGCACGGCACGCTAGTGAGGCTTATAGGCCTGTAGCTACCAGGCGATAGTCGGTCACCAGTTTTGTCGATTGGCGTGACAATCGCTCCCTTCTAAGCAGGGGGAAGGCGGCCTTCGTCAAGCGACTGACGAAACACCAGGTGTAAATGGTTTGCCAGTGTGGAGGACGTTTCGTTCAGGATCCTTGAAACGAAATTATTGTTCATGTTCTCCATCAAGGCCAAGCGCGACGAAGCTGGAAAGACGTAAAGAAGCTAATATTTCCGCGAAATCGCCCACTGCCTCCGGAGAGAAGTGGCCCTCGCCACGACAGCCTTTAAAAATATGAATTCCGCACCCATGGTTGACCTCGATTAGGTTGGAACAATTTCCAACAAAATTGCAGTTGCATGAGGTGGTTTCAAGGCTTTGTATAAATACCATCAAAACCTTATATCAAAGTTGACTTTGTTCAAAGTATGGCCTCACAATTACTTGGGGTGCGAGCCATTGCATTGGCAAAGTATACAAATATCCCCATACAAGAGTTATTTTTCTGTGCTCTACTACTCTCGTCAAATTTGCCGTATACCTCAAAGGCCTGGTACCGCTAGAAACCTAATTTTACACTTGAAGTAAAATTGCAGTGTGGATAAGCAAAGCTGAACAACATAATGACTGAGTCATCGATGTTAGTCTATCTCTTATCAACCTTAACGCTTCCTGTATAAATTACGTACAGACCGTCACCATCGGAACAAGACGGAGAACAAAACACCGGACGGCATGGCGAAGCCAAGTAAAGAAATATTTGTAATATCATAATAGTTTTGTGATAAATTTGGTCAGACGCGGGCGATTCATAACCAGATTATGGCGATGCAACGTATACCTGATAACTGATCAAGAATTTATAGAAGCCTTAAGAGTGTTGTCCGGGCAATAAAATGCATCTGAAGACTGGAGGTAGCCAATTAATGATGAGGTTGCCGAAAGTTTGTCTACAGCCTACGACCGGTGCCGTAATTTTTCGGGTGCATTAGGCAAGTGTGATCGCCCAATTCTCCGTCAACACTGTATTCTATATGAACCCAAATCGTCCCAAAGTCATAAATTAGGCTCAGTCGCGCTTTGTGTGGCAAATACCTTTGTGAGAAAAGTCTCCTCCACTTTTGACTAGCGTAGAACATAGTGTTGAGAAAATTTGGGTATGCGCCTGCCTGATGAGCTTCAGGGCTTGTAAAGCCGGTAGTGCGCCGTTGGGGAGTTCTGCGTGACTGAATGAGCAATTCTTTGTGTCCGGACAGCGCACCACGATGGTTCAATACCCTACCGCACAAAATATGAATCAGTCTTGTGCAGGATATGCCTACGAAAAAACACCACAAAAAGTACACCAGGGAGTCATTTGAGCCTGATAATCAATACAAATTAGTGCGCAAATTATAAAATTTGGCAAAACCCATAGAATTGGACGTTTGTATGCAGAACATATGCTTAAACGTGAAGGCTGAACCTAAATGGTCGAGAAAAACTTCACCGTCAGTGGAACACAAAGGATTTGCTACCCCATCAAATAATCACAACACTGTGAGCCAACTTTTGCGTTGACCAGTATGTGCAAATCTGGTGAGTATATTTAACTGCATTGCATACTCGGCAGTGAAGGTACTCATTACGGTATAATGTTTGTATGTTTGAATGGAACGATTTCTTGTGCAGGTTTAAATGTATGCCTTTCTCCCTCCCATTAAAAACTGCTCAGAGGGCCGATTCCCGTGATCACTATTTGTATTCCGTTTATCCATCTAATGTCAAAATTAAGTGAAATTGGTTTTGTATCGGTGAGCCAAAAAACCTTCTGCACCTGACGTAGCTAAGAAAGTTTCAGCCATTTTTCCAAAATGATAATTTTCTCAGGGCCTTGTTGATAACCAGAATGTAAAAATTCATCCACGCCCCATAGGGGGGCGGACATCTATCATTTGCGTGGTATGTTTTCCTCGCAGCGTCAGAAAATTGGCTGTGTTCTTCGGACTACACCACATGCGTATAAAGCGTGACATTATTAGCTGTTTCGTGCGGGAGACTTTGTTAGCCCGTTGGTTCTTGGTGACGATGACAGTGGATTAATGCCGATTCCGTCGACTCATCCACTAGCAAGCATTTTGCATTTTCGTATCCTTATATTCCAGTGGGTGTGCGTCAGTATGGATCACAAGGAGAGATACATTTGATGAGGGAACCTTTACTGAGACTAGGAAGCGTCACTAGTGAAGTCAGTCATGTACCTGTATTTCGCCTGTGACACGGAGGTAGTCTGGCAGCCACTTCTCTAGTGAAGGAATGTCAGCCATAGATCTGCCAACAAAGTCGATGGGTTTTGTTGTGATTTTTGGTAGGTACGAAGTGGTCCGGCTAAACAAAAAGCTACTTTACCAGAAGCTTCTGGCAAAGACAGGGAATTAATAACGCTAGTACACAATAATAAAGATGTCAGATGGAACAGACTCACTAAGAATTGTTCTCCTTGAAATAATTTGTCGTTGGCCTAGGTCGGGGAGTAAACAATAAACCAATCATGGCTGTCAAGGGGTCTTCTTCTGAACAGTTCTTTTTTTATAGATTCCGAAGATATTCTGACATGTTGCGATGTCGGAGTTGGCATATGATGCTCACGAATGAGCGCCGTAAGCGGGAGTGAAATCAGAAGAGAGAGTGGAGGCAAGCGACCACGTGTGTATTATGTGAAATTGTGCAGGTGCGCGTTTTTGTAGTTTTTCGTATTCAAACAAAAAACGGTTATGCGACTGACAAATTGCGAAATGTTATAATGCGAGGAAAAGAAACATACTAAACATCACAGGTACACAACATTTGCCAACGTGAGCCCCATGGGAACGGCCACACGCAGTTCAAAATTACAATAGAACTGGGCCATTTAAATTGGCCACCCCAATCACCTGTGGTCACCCACTCTTTCGAGCTTTTTACTAGAAGAGAGAGATATACGAACTTATCTGGAATAACAGCTCAAAAAAACACAAAGTAAAGGTGAATATTTGGGACCCTGTTGAAGTGGATAGGGAAGTTGATTAGTCTTCAGAGATTTCTCGAACCCAACTATCAGCAAACTGACTAATAAGACTAGGGCCTGACAGGGACAGGAACTTTTCAGTCGAATTCAAATCTGTTTATGGATTTTGTCGGAGACCGATTTACCTGACGAAAATGATTGCAACATTTGGCGACAAGGATGATAATTTATTGGTCTGGCTACCCAATAAGTTAGTTTACCAGGAGTGTGTGGCAAAAAAATAAAAATAATAACGCTAGGTTGGGTATAGAAAAATAAAGAGGTCAGATAGAACAGACCCACTAACAATTGTTCTCTTTAAAATAGTTCGTCGTTGGTCCAGGTCAGCGAATAAACAATAATCCAGTTATGTTGGTCCAGAGGTCTTCTTCTGCAACGTTCCCATATATAATAGATTCCGAAGATGGATGTACCAGAGTTAGTACAGGAGACTCGCGAATAACCGCTACAAGCGCGAGCGAAAGCAGAAGAGAGAGTCGAAGCACGTGACCACGCTTGTATTCTGTTAAATTGTACAAGTGCACATTTTTTGTAGTTTTTTAGTATTCAAGCAAAAAACGGTTATGCAATTGACGAAATACGTAGTGATATAATGGAAGTGTAGCGGACTAGGACCTTATCAGCGTGTTCGGATAAATTAACAAGCAAAGTAACTAATACAAAATAACAAAATCAAATAGGAAAAGAATGGGTAGTCGAATGGGGACTCACGAATTTGTAGATCAAATAGTCCACTACACCGATCCAAATGCAGTAAGTGACTGTTAGAGGAAATATTCCCTTGTCTGAGTTTCCCACGGATGGTTCCGCGTGCGTGATATATTCCACGATAGGAAAATTATTCACGGCTAAAATATTGTCACAGGTATTTACTGTGACGCTCAACAGTTGACAACGGAGATTTAGTCCCACTAGTTCAGCAGTCAACAAGCAGTTCAATGGAGCATAAATGCACTCGTTCAGCAAGAAGTCCGCAGGTCGCGCCGGAAAATTGTGTATTCGTAACATTAAAACAAACGTCATGATACAATATGTACGACAGTTACAAAGTGTGGTTTAAGTGCAGGAAGAATGGTAAATGTGACAACGGGATACAGACACTACGGAAGTAAAATAAAGGTACAAACGCCACACTAACAATACTGTGCCTAGTTGGCCGGTTTTGGTTCCTGGTTATGTGGCTATGTGTCTGCCCAATTCTTGGGACGCCAGCTGGCTCGAGCCAAGTACCTTTCGAGTCTGGGTTGTTTGTACACTTTGCTGAACCTATTGAATCTATTTTGGGTTGGTTGAAATGTGGGGCGGTGATGTGGGACGTGGGTGCCTCAACTACTCCGTTAATGCACTGGACCTGACCTCTGAAACATAAGGTCAGACGAACAAGCTCAGGCCTTAGTGTTGCGCTTCGTTTGTACGTTGCTCAGAATATTTCAGTAATTATCCCACCTGTTACTCGCTCAACCCAGTCGTCTGGGGCTTCTTCAAACCATGTAATATAAACTGGAATCTTGCCAGAAAAAATCCCGTTAATTGTGTAGAGTTGTATGGTTCGAACGGTTATTTAACCTATTCGCTTTCATTTCACTGGTCCGCCAGCCTATCGGCATGCAAAGCGAACATGTTACCGCTGCTCCGCCAGGAGACCGAATTTGTTTGAACCGTCTCCAAGGTCATACCGTGTTGCACATCAGCTGTCACAGTGTTTCCCGGTGCGTGAACAGCTGATTCTGCACCGGGCTCTCGTGGCGCCTCCAGGGTTATGGTCTGCAGTGCTACCTTAGAACGTGTGCGAAATACCGGATAACAAGCAAATCCCGCTCTCTTCCATCTCCAAAGATGAGTTTACACCAATGACCAGCGGGCCTGTATACAAAGCCCGTGCTGCTTCTGTTTCCTTAACTGCATTATTATCGACCTGAGTAGAATATAAGGACACCATAGCGTTGTTTCATATTAACTGGGGTATCTGCCCGAAATGTTGCAAAATCAGAACCGGTGTGTTCCTCAAGGTATCTCAACTTCCCATTTAGGCTTATTATGTAGTTGATTCCGAATCCGATGGTCTAGCATCGTCTATCGATACAATCTGCGCTCATTTGGATCAATTCATTGTCTCACAGTATGAGCGTGCGTACTCTGTCTTCATTGAAGAAGTTGGCTTTGACCTGGGTGAGACAGTGAACATGGTCTTTGGTGAAGTTCCCTCAAAGGTAAGGTTCTAAGGTATTTCAACCATAAACGTTTACTACTAGACCTTCCACCTCCAGTCCTCGTTTGGCCACGTTATTGAGACACTCCTTCTGGGTGAAGAATGTCCCGTGCACTTCGAGAAAGGAGACATTCCGGTTTTCGTCTGCGAGCAATGGATTTTCGAACTTGAAGTCCCATGGTAAGCACATTGCGCAGTGGCGCACTATGGTTATCGTGACATTTTCGCAAAGTTGTGATGTATATTTCTGATGTTCTGAACTTTTCCATGGTTCTGCTGTTTTTTCGGACCAATCGCTACCTTCGTTGTTCTTTGGATCTCAATTTCATTTAAGCGCATGCAACAAACCAGGGAGGACAAGGCAGTCAGGCGTCTATCGTCGTTAAACCTACATACCTGCGTACCTTCTGTGATTCATGGGTTGATACACAGGATCGAGGATTTCGTTCTTGTCGTTCAGTGTTTTCCGTTAACCTGAAACGCACAATTCAGAAAAGGTGTAGCACAGCTCTTTAATTTCTCAGCGCGAGGGCTCTCACAAAAGCGTCTAACGATGCTTTGAACCGGATACTAGATGATGCGTGGACACCCGCAGCAGCAACCCGAAATGAGAGAAAATTTTGCCTAATGAAAGTGTGCGCTCTGAGCTTGGAAATCTTATCATGTCCTCGCCGTGGTCAACGGTGAAAAACCTCCTGGTCAAACCTTGTTCCAACGGGGCGTGGGTAAATATTAGGTCTCGGAGGCGACGATACTCTTCCAGATGCGTTGCGCAGTCCACAGATTTAAGGCCGGTAACCATTTTCATAGCATCTCGCCAGACAAGCTCTTCTTACGTTTTGAGTAGACAACTTGGCATGTTCACGAGGTGGTCTGACGTTGGCTCCATAGAGTATTTGGAGGTTTTTGCAAGGAATACCTTAGAAGGTGTACCGAATCATCCGTACAACGGCGAGGCCGATTCCTCATGGTGCAGTGAGAACGACACGTTTGCAGAGATCCAGATACCCAAATCCTTGTTTCGTCGTATCCAGTTACTTTTTTAAAACGTTCCTAGTTATTCTAGTACTGGACGCCCGTTCATAATAGCAGCCGCTGTGTTCGAACCAGACCTGTGCCTATTGACTTTCCCCGTCTAGACTTGGGCAACTTGGCAGTATCCTGGCCCTCGTGCTTCCCTCGGACAAGCAGTTGCCCACCGAAAGGGTGCTACAGCTGAACGATTTTTTATGCTGTGTTCTACATGGAGACGTGCCAGTAATACTAAATATGGCTAGTTGCAATTCAGTAGGCCATGTGTTCCTGTCTAATACGTGGAACCTCCTTAAGCCCCGTAAATTCCCCTTCGAATGACCATTAGCACTTTCTTAGAGATCATATCTCAAACATACCGGTCTTATCAAGAAGGGGCCTTCAGGTCGATTACTGTTCCTCCGTGAATGGTTTTGTGGCACCATACAGCACTTCCGGCATTCGCCCCCCCCCAACGCCCAAACCTTCCATGTCCATCAGGCCTCACGGTCGGTGCGCACGCTGATTATCACTTAATATATGACAATGCGGGGACATTTCCTCGATACCGTATAATTGCGCGGTCCAACTGGTGCCGTGTCGCAGGTGAACTTCCTGTCATTATGCAAAAATGTAGCTATTTCGTTCCAGTGCGAGTTGACATCCAGGGGTAAAGATGGTATATGAGAATCCAGATAACGGTCCAGATAAATTCGTCTAACTTCTGGATTTGCCAGCTTCCCACTCGCTTTTCACATGGCCGCAAGCAGAGGAGCGACTCCGAATGAATGCATGGTCCCCACACACGCGTTCCGGGGTTGGGAGGTGGTCACTCACTCCAACTCAGTTTGGGTCAATGGCTGTCGAGCTGTTGGAATGTACCAGGTAGCCAGACGATTTCGGGTATTCCGTAAATTATTACTATGTGGTCAGCACATTGCTGAAGCAGTCTTTCACCAATGGCCGTACGTACAAAGTCCAATCCAAGTCGACCAGCCAATCGAGCCCCAAGATGTGCTAAATCTGCTCATTTATGCATTAAATTCTCGGCAACCACAACGATATCTTAGCTCCTGGCGCTAAATTGCCATCAAATATGTCTTTGATGATGTCAGAACTATAGCCTGTCGGAAAGTAAACAGACAATAAGCAATTGATGATGAACTTCCCACTTGTGATATTCCTTCATGGATGTTGCCAGTTGAACATCACAAATGCTACCTTCAACGGGTATACATTCGAGCGAGGATCCTTCCACTCGATAACACAGGAGGATTCCGATCTCCGGACAGTCTTTTACAGCGACTTCTGGGTCACCAGAGGTGCCCAGCCGGAATCGAGTGCAAATTGATGGTGCAACTAGCTCCGCGACTGTTTTTGATACGCACTACGTAACATCTTCTAACGAGCAATAGCAGCTTCTTATCTTACTTTTTTCAGAGTGTAAATGCTAAATGCAGCCGGCTGAACCGGGTATCAAGGTTTCAGGCTTCATTTGAGAATGCCCGAGGATGTCGGTGCCGGCTAACCCGCAGATGTTGCGGCAAGACGAATGGGGCTATCAGTCTTAACTGATAGACCCACAAGGAGCATCACCAATGGGCTTGGAGAGAGGTAGAAAGAAAACTTGAGAGTTATAGGGAGAAGTGGCATGCTTTCACAAGAACTAAAGCCACCCGGTTGATGACAACACGCGATGTTCGATATGTGGTGATAATATATTTTGTTGTTGGAATCATAGTTGTTCGTCGGTTGATATATTGTCATGACACTCAAATTTGGACAAGATTAGAGTCCTCAACCAAAGCTCTTGACCCAACAGCCTAACAACAAGACGTCGGTGTTTGGTGAGGAATTCCAGTGCAGTACATTTTCCACTCTGCAACCTGGAGGGTCAGGAAACTGTTGTCCGGACTTCTAGCCGTTGGCTAGCTTGGTCTGAGGCTGTCAGTGTCGCACAGACACCCTTAAGTGCGACCTATTGGATTACGAACTGCTATACTCCTGTATTTTCCAGTATCGTGGTAGATGTAATTAGGATACTTCGCATCTTGGTTTGAAATGTGAACGACTCGCGAAGTGACGTCACAATTGATACCCTTATAACTCAGTGTCTATGGAATATATGTACGTACTCATGCAGGTCAAGTCTGACTCTGAAACTAGTGAGCCGTCGATTCTAATTAAGTCTTTCCAATAAAACCGTATCATTCGTGGGTCGAGCCGTTGATATTCTGGAACTTAGCCTTTGAACTTACTTCTTCATTCACATTTTGGGTCAGATATCCAAGTTTTGATGACTCAAGATTGGCACTTTGAGCTGTTGGACAACCAGCTCTCGGCTTTTTTCTATCGGTGGCATTAGGGTCTGTTGGGGGTGTGTGGGGTTAAGTTTGTCGGATGGATTGTCTTGGGACCTTCAACCATAACTTGAACAATATCCCAAGGTCGCTTCCCCTTTCGGCCGCGCATCGAGTGAAAGGCAGGGTCTACACCGCATCAGTGTGTCCAGCGTTGCTCTGCGATTGTGAATTCTAACCGCTATGCTCTGAAGGCAAAAGTGGATCACTTGTCTTGGATCTCCGATACCCTTGAGGTATTCAACATGTATCGATAGGATATCGCATTAGCAACCTCGAAGTGTGTCAAATGACTTCTGGTGACAAATCATCTGCCTGACTAATGGACCAGTCGATCCGGCTGCACCAATTACGCTGGCTCGTTTATGCGATCCGCACGGCGGGTGATCGATTTTGTTGTCGTTTACTGTTTACCCAGGCAGGTTTTGACTAGAACGTACCACAAAGTGGACAACACATAACCTGGAGACGAGCATGGCTGTACTCGTGCATTTCGTCTACCAGGTTCGGGTATCAGAGACCCGCATTAATGAGGTGCATCATTGATGCGGTTCAATGTGGTACTCACCTACGTGATTGTCGCCTAACCAGCAGTGAGCATCCTCCTGGGTTTGAAGACTACCCTTGTTTCCATGGGTATCCAGACACTGTAGCAGTGCCTGTGGGGGCGAGGAGTCACTCATAGCTTCTTAACTCTCAGAACTCTGCAGACCAGCTCCCACGGATGTGTCAAGGTATATGGCAAGCTTTTGCCGAATTCACCACATCCATTAGTGTCAGGCAAGATTGCCTCATATGCCTTTCTCTTCAGTTTTTTCGTCGATATTGTAATATGGAGCCCGGATTGAAATGATTCAGGGAAGACTATGTGGCTTAGCAGTGAAGTACGGAGGCCAGTTCCAGCAAGCTCAGAGGCCGCTGGTCATTGTCGTCCTGAATGGGATTCGGAGAGGGGACACATCAACAGCTAAAGGCGCTCGTATCTAAGCTATCACTTTTAATGTGCAGCTTCCCCTCCCGATCTCCAACAGGGGAAGTCTGAATGTCATCCGTCGATGGCGTCAGCTACTATCTACAGTGTGTGGCTGATAAATTCTGCTCTCCATATTATCATTGAACAAAATTATGGCAGGTGTAACCACTGAACATCCAACATTCTCTGCTGTTGGTGGTGGTTGGTAATAATAATCATGACCACTTTCCTAGCCTTTTCCAACACCATCGTAATCATGATCCCCTCGGTCCTTGTCATGTACGGTGTTCCCAGTTATCACAGTTTTCATGATACGAGAAAGTGGTTGACCACTGACCTGTACTCGTGAAGCGTAAATCCGCTAGCGGCTCCCGGTTTTTTGCTGTCAGTGTGATACTCTTTGGATCACCCTCCTCTGATTACCCTTCTGGGTTCGAACCTGGAAGCAGTTAAGCACTGGCCACTTGTAAGTACTGTGATTAGCTTGTTTTTATTCCTGTTCAGTGTTTAAGTAGACAGCCCAAAAGCCAACAATATAAGGTAATGTATCAATATACATTGACAAATTAATGGACTTAGACTGTTAAGCGACACCTGTCAGTATGTTCAAGAATGTTAGCACTTGTCCTTCCCTCAGACATACGTCGTAGTGGCCGTGACACATGGCCTACATCGTGAGCCTGGTGGCGGTGACATGTGAGTCACGCGAACATGTTACGTTCATACCAAACGGCTATAGCAGCTAACCTGGTATGGCCTTGGATAACTGCGCATTCGATTCACATACCATAGGGCCCTTAACTACCCACTACTAACTGTCCTCACGTTGCCGCAAGCATCATGCGACAGCAAATGAATTCATCTCCAAATTTCCATCCCTTGTGCGGGCACGGTGTGCGAATTCCTGTGGGTGCGTACAACTATATGGGAAGCTGTCGTCCGAGTCCATGTCCAGTAGTGTAAGGCAACGCTGTCCATTTTCACCTTTCCTCTTCAACTTTGTTATTGGTACGCTGCTCGAAATTTCTCTGCCTGTATGTGAAACCTGGGGAGTCGAAATGCTCCCGGGACGTTCCCTCGCAGACATTGAATATGCAGATGGTGTTTCTCTCCTTGGTTCAGATCTTTCCCAAACACCGCACGGTTTGTCATGGGCTTCATGCCCATGTAAAGTGTAAAGTGCTGCTACAAGACTGGGTGGGATCAAACACACCTCGTGCTTAAAGGCGAGACAGTCGCCGTGTTAGCCAAATTGGTTTACCTGGACAATTGTATAAGTTTCAGTGGACTGGCTGGAGATGAGATTACCTCTCTAGTCGGGAAGGCCAGGGTAGCTTTTGCCAACCTCCGACACCTATGGTGCCAACGTGGTGCCGTTTTATCTGTCAGAGGGAGAGTTTACACTGTGGTCGTGTGATCCACACTGCTTTGTGTATTAGAATCGTGGCCTCTGCGCCCAGAGGACATATGGAAGATGTCAGTGTTTGAACATTCGTGTCTTCGAGGCGTTGGTCTTATAGTTAATGAATCTCGACGTATAGTTCATGGCCTTAGAGGTTCAAAATGACATGAATTCGTGTTCGCCGTTCGCACACTTTTCGTCACCATCATTGACAGCACAACATCACCGTCCGGGCAGGCAAGTCACAATGACAATATCCAGACTGTCTCTAAAAACATAAGCACGCGCATAAAGTCCAGTCACACGTTCCTACAAGATTTTAACTATCTGGTCTAACTTCAGTTACCAGCCTCGTTCAAGGCCCCTTTGTCCTTTTCGTGCCAGCCATAACTTGACTTTAAATTACGGGCTCTGGGGCGTAAATTTGTTTATTTGCTTGATGCATTCAATTATTTAGACCCATGATGTAATAAAATGCCGTGCTCTAGCAGGTAGGCGCTAGTGTATAACATAAACGAGAGATTCTTTCTAGGGTCACTGAAATCTCCGGTTCACCTTTTCAGTACGCGTATGGGCTGAGAATACATGGGCGATTCGATGTTCAAGTGAGATTAAAGGCTCAATTGAAATTCCGTGACCACGCTAGCCCCATATGCCTCAAGCAGAGTGGAACCTTATGGTTGTACGGCAGTGAAGCACCAATGCCAACACTGATGTTGCTGCCTTTGCTGTTGTTGTTGATGATGATGATGAACCGACTTTTTACGGTTAGAATCCGAGTTCCTTTCATCAATATATCTTAGATGCTTAGATATGATTCACCCTTAAAGCGAGCTCATGCTTGTCTTGTTTTTTTTCGATCGGAAGCGCATTCACCCAAAAGGAATCATGGAAGCTAGCGGATATACACCCATCTGCAAACTAATTTGGTTCTTTCGAGAGACTCACCCGGAACCCAGCTGAATCTCTCGTTTATGATGTTCTCAGGCATTCGCTAGTTTCGTGCAATTTGGTTTCAAGTAGAACATAAGGTTGATGGAAACCCGGGGGCTGCGCCTACCTGATGAGCCCTAAGAAGGGCGAAACCGGTCGTGGGCTGTCGATGGATTTTCAGCAACCTTATGAGTAGTACACTACAAATAATCATGGAAGCTGTTTTTATGAGTTGGGCGTGTGTTTTCAATGATTGGCACTTCACGAAGACGTCACTATATTGTCACTAGTTCTATCCAAACATACTTAAATTGTCGTGAGAACGAAGAAGGTAGCGAACAAAGCTTGTTTTCTGTGATTGTTCATCTTGGCTAGTACATCGCAAATTTATATGGTAGCAGAAATCACGTGGAAAAGGTTAAGATCGGGGTTACATACACTTCAGAGAAATAGAAGTCAAAGGAAGGGGGGTTGGGTGAGGGGTAGGTCAATGGGTCACGGAGTCAAGTAAGTGACGTCAATGTCAGACAGATTTGTGGGACCAGATGTTTCTTGGGCCAGTTCAAGTTCAGAGGTCGCACAAGTTTCTTTTGGATGCAAAGTTGTGGATCCAGCATTCGGATTCCTATCGCCTCTGCGATCGATAGTAGTCTGGATCGTACCAGTCGTGATCCGTTCAGAGGTACTCGGTATATGATGGTGAAGGCTTGCTCCTTGTCTATGACATGACAGGTTTCGGCCAAGTGTGCTGCAATCGCGCTTGAGCCTGATTTCTTTCCACTACCACTCAGAGATGCGGGATTGTGTTCTCGTATTCTGTCCGACAAAAACCTTGTCGTACGACCAACGTATGATGCTCGGCACGAGCATATGAATGAGTACACATATATATATATATATATATATATATATATATATATATATATATATATATATATATATATATATATATATATATATATATATATATATATATATATATATATATATATATATATTGGAGAAGTCGGACAGACAGCACTGAACGCTGCTAAAATAGCTCCTTTTAAATATCGCCACGCTTCATCCACATCATCATCATCGACAGCATGACATCAGTGTTCAACACCGATGCTTCACTGCCGTACAACCATGATTTATTTGAAAGCCTTATTGTAGAGAAAAGAGTAAAGGTGGACAGGGAAGGGACTTAGTGCTAGCTTAACACAATCATTCCGAGGTGCCTATACCTCCAGACATTCACTCAGGCGATCTGGATAGAAACTGGCAACAGGAACGTCACTGACATCGGTTGGCAGCCATATCTTGTGTCTCCAACCAGGCACAGTGACGATCACGCGGTCCCCATCCTGGAAGGCGAGTAGCACCGACAGTACCCAAGTGTTTCGTGATCTCCTTCATACTCCTTGTGCACAAAGTGCGCAAGCGATAGGGCCGTGTACTTCAAACAGAGTGAAACACACCATTTTATGTTGCAGGAGCTAGTGCCCGTGTTTTCACGTCCTCCAGCTCCTAAAAAAATTTGGTTCATTCTTTAGAGGTTTTTTGTTCGTGATAGTGGTGATGACTGTCTTCCAAGTAGTGGTATCTTGTCACGCGTGCCGGGCTACTGTGCGGCGAGAAGATCATTGTTTCCCGTACCTAGTTGGGCGTGACGGAAACCTAGAGGCGGATAGAATATGACGTCCGAAGGGGAATTTCTGAGCACTATTGGTGCCGAGGTCTAAGACGGAGCCTGTGCGACCAATACTCTGTTTGACTGGGGACACTGAGAGAAATGGTGGCCAACCGATGTGAGTGGCTTTCATGCTATCAGTCTCTATTCAGCGTACATGACTGGGTGTTGGAGGTTTAAGCACCTCGGATATTTTTACGTTAGTTATCTCCATTTCCTTCTCCTTGTCCCATTTTTCTCTTCCTTATAAGGCTTTATTCCAGCAAATTAACATAGTGGTTTGGGAGTGGGGCATCAGTGTTTTTTCGGTTCTGCTGTTGATGCTTGATATTTCGTTACTTTTTTCCCGGTCATGAGCAACAATGTCAGACGTGCTCTAGTTGGTGCATATCCAATTTATGCTGCTCAACTGGACGAAATGTACTTTGACAAAATGTGTTCCCAAACACTATATAGTGAAGAGCTCGAATGAACGCAGGAAATCGTTTTTCCGGTTGTCAGCTCTTCATTCAATCGTTCTGCAACCACTGGGTCTGCTTGGTTGACCCGGGTACACTGCAAATGTTCGACGATTGTGCTCGCGTGTTTTTTATTTTCTCACGATTTGGTCGTAAGGTTCTTTTTTGTCAGGACACCATGGTTTCATTTATCGTAACGAATGCCTCACGGTTGGTAATTTTGGGCAGTTCCATTTCGAGCCGACTAGATGTGTTCCTTCGCTAGCCCTATCTCAAGCGCACAAAATATAGCATTCCCACCAAATGGTTGTGCTGAACACTTAATCAGCCGTGCATTGTGTTTATCTCATTCGTTTGATAGCTGAAACCCTGTGCCGGATAGAATTCTCCATCGAATTCCTTGTTGCTAAAGCCCTGGAACAATATCCGGAGTCCGAATGGGATTGCCGTGAATCATTTATTGGTACCGTTTCCTACGCCTCAGCTAGTTATCTTCTATTTTGTCTCCCCTTCAGTCCATCTGCGGTCGGGGAACAGTCGATTGAACACATTCAACGTGAGATTGAAAATTATTTCACATCCTCTCCGTTGTGGTTTTGGCTGAGGGAGCACTATCAATCGAAGCGGTACAAACTAGCTCATCGGTATGTTTGTCCTCCTATGATCAGTACGGGATAATTTTTGTGATCAAATAAATGTGACCTTGGTTTTTCTTGTTTCCTTTTTCGTAGTGTCTGTCCAAAGTCGGAAGCCAGCCCAAATCCCGGTGCATCGTTCATTTTATCGATTGGACAAGTCTCATCCATGTCATCTTTGGTGCAACCGAAAACCAGGTTTAACTCACGATGTACAAAGAAAAACACTTTCGCATCTCACTCCCACCCCGCTATCCACACCACGAACAGCAAGGATAAAAGTTCCGTTGATCCATGGCTAAGTCATACATTCTCTCCCGTGCGTGTTACAGCGAAAGATGTGTTGAGATTGAGTGTTTTATCACCTAAATGGATGCCAGCACACCTTCTGGAATGTCCTCTTTGTTGTGATCCGCCTGCAGAGTGTCTTGAAGACTGGAGTCACCAGAATGACTCCAAGTCTCGAAAACTCCCGCCTCCAATCGACGTGCACCAGTGTGAACCGAAAAATGATAGTATTGAGCAAACAAATGTACCACAGTCTTTCCCCGGTGTTCCTGGAGATTTATCAGTTTGCAAAGAGACATTAAGAAGCCCGACCGTTGTGATGACAGATGTGCACAACAATTTCTTCCATGATGTCATCACTGACTCACTGTATGATATACCATTTTACTCGGTCTCTGGATTCGACTCGGCCACTTCCACTCTCACAAAAAAGTCACGAGTAAGTAAATCTAGTGACGTTGTCCAAACGCAGCTCGAATCCCCACCGAGAAAGCAGCAACGAATCGGCAGTGAGTCTAGCCTTTCCGGGTATCCTGGGACGCCCCAGTCCTCCCCTCGAACTTCCGAACAAGATGTAACAAATCCCAACCGAGGAGGAACTATGGACAAAGTGATTGCTGAATTTACTCAGCTCAACGTAGAACGGGTCAATTTGAGCTCCAGCACAGGACGATTGTCTTGTGGAAGTACCGATGCGGACAAACTGTGTACCCAATCATTTTGCCTTTCAATTGCGCCCGCAGATGATTCTTGCGATACGGATATATGTGACGCGCCTTTGTCACATGGCGTGGCAAAGAAACGTGAACATCCTCCTAAATCATCTGGTTCGGATTGTTCCAGTGCGCTGGCGAACCCTTGCAATCGATCAGCGTTATCGGGTCACTTGCCGCGAGAGAGAAGGCGAAATGCTACTTCCGCTTGTATTCCAACATGGTCTTCCTCACTACATAGAGATGGCCAGCCGTTTTTCAATCGTCGCACAGGATTGCCATTACAGTCCTCACCAGTAAGTCCTAAACTATGTGTGGAAAAATGCCCGTTGGTTTGTTCGCTGAGCTGAGCAGTTTGAGTTTGGGCAGTTTCATCACCAATCAAGGTGACATCACCAGTGCGTAGTGGAACGTTGCGATGGGTCGGTAGTTGTGCGTTGAGTAGTGTTGCGCCTGTTAGTAAATGTGTTAATGTGTTAAATACTGCTAGCCGGGACTGACCTTCGATCACGATTGGTTGCTTGGTCTGGAGGTTACATTGGTTAGCTTGTTACCCTGTGTCCTGATTTGTTAATGACCAAGTGACCCTTTATCTTGGCATCCCTCGTTCTTGTACTCTGGTCGGTGCTGGAGCGACTTCTGTCCTTGACCTCTGTGCGTTCTAGTCTGTAACCTTTGATGATCTGACTCCAAGGAGTTTCTTGTCTTTTGGTTTGTATGGAAGGATGCTTGACTATCGGGAATACAAGCGTTTATATAAGGCACCTCCGATGTTTGAGGTAGGCCAGCACTAGGTCCCCCTCCCTATACCACTTCTTCCTGATTTCCATTAAAACACTTCATGCCAATAAATTGACATGGCTGTACAGAAATGAAGCACCAGTGTTCCCCTAAATTGTTGCTGTCAGTGATGACGATGATGACAACGTATGTACAAGATGCTCAGGCATAGAATAAGTTTGGTGGAGATTCGGAGGGTAGTCCTACCTAATGAACTCTGAATAGCGCTAGGCAAGTAGTAACCTGTCGGGGTTTCCCATAACCCTTATGGGTATCATTGGAACATGATGCTGTTTCTGGTCTTTTTTATTCCGTGATGAAACATGTTTACAATCCTTAGTTCATGTATCAAACCATGGCAGTGCTCCCGCTCGAGGGCCCATTCTCCCAAATAATGGGGATTTGTAGAAATTTGCACATCTTACAGAAATGGTGTGGTGTATGGTTGCCGCTCTCCTGACAGGTTCAATTTCATAAAGTTTGACGGTTCCGTTATTCACTTGTTTGATTCCAATTCTGTTTTCTTATTTGCCTCGTGTGTTTATACCTCGTCTACTAACTTGACCCAACGGTTTGGTATGTATATTGCAGGACAGCAGCGTAGGTGTTGAGGTAGAGTTGGACACAAGGGACAAGCCTTGGCCAACTTACTTCATAGGCTAGTGGAACACCCTAGTGTTCGCTTAGCTACCTATTTGCATTCGGGTGTCCTTGTTTTCTGATATATTTCTTATCGAATCCAATTTTCAGTGCCATAATTTCGACAACATAATAGGTCTTCAGAATGCAAACACCATAATCACTAAAGCGGCTGAAACACCGTACCACCTGCCCCGAAGCGACCGGTTTCGTTGTTCATTAGATGTGGCCACCGTAGGGGAGGAGCTCTGTTTGTAGTGAACTGTTGTAAGAGCGAAAAGTATTACGATGGAGATATTTTCGGGTTTCAGGGAGTGCCGTTCAAAAGACAGGAAAAATTATCTCTACAATGTAACGTGGCAGTGCCCCATAGCCATCCAAACTTAAAATACGGCTAAGAACAAATAAAATTAATAAGAACGGACGACTAAATACGCTAGTCAATAGGTTTATCGATCTATTTCGCGCTTGTCAAACGATCGTCAGTGTTCCCATGACACTGGGTCACGTGCTCCTACGTCTCGTCGCATTCACTGCTCACCTCGTAGTGTACTTTAATGCTAATCAGAATAACTGACGGGTTTTTAACTGTCCATTTTTTAATATACCCTATATATATCTATTTATATAAAGTACGCTGTAGTTACACGAGCTTGTGTGCCGAAATACGTGAAGATAGAACAGTGGATTGGTGAAATACTGCATTGTCCCAATGGATGTGACGGAAATTCACAGTATGTGCACCACTCGTTCTAATTCCGCCTTTCTTAGTCCGTCTCCTGTTACACGCTTCAATCTTCGTAACATAATAAGTCTACAGGAACAGACAAATCAGTGGTTACTAACATATTTGCGGTTACTCGTACTCTTTTGCCTTAGGCAAGTTGCCGGGCTCTAGATGTGTATTCCTAGTCTATGATTTCCTATCTGAATGATGCTCGCTCAGATAGAACTACGCGGGCATAATCAAGTTTTCTTTCCAACCGACGTTACTAGAACTGTGAGTTCAACTCAATTGTTGACGTTAGTTTACCGCTCCAAAACGACGACGGTTCATTCACCGATACCTCCTAACGCATTCCTACTACCCGACCAATGTAGTGTTTCAAAGACTGTGACGTACATATCACTGAGCTTGGTTATCCTATACAAATGGGAACAGGGGGCGCTCGGAAAAGTTGTATACATGACCTTTCAGAGAAGGACTGATTTTGCACTAAAAGAGGTTCACGAGCCTACGTAATTGTAGGGATACTCCCCTCTTCCAGACCAGTATTTCATACAAAGTGACAGTGGTCGCGTTATCGGACCACTGGAAGACCATCACTGCATATATCTCTGAAGTAAAATTGAAGCTTTACCGGTGAGTGGATGGCGTCAATCACTCCGTAGCATTTCTACTAAACCATTGTAGGTTAGCATTGCATATTCTAAGTCTAGTCTAGTCAATAGTATGAAATCGAGGGTATGTTAACAATATTCGGTGCCGACTCCAAGATCTCTTGGGGTCGTCCGTATGGATTGGACACTCCTGTCTTTTTATCGTTATTTCAGAATGTCGAGCCCGACTCTCTCACTTACGATGTCCTTGAAGGTGCTAATCTCCTTCTGCACGTACATGGACTCTCGATGCCCAACACACCAGCTCGCGCGTGCAATGCGCAGCTACCTACCCCCTCCCCCAAATCATCGGTGAACGAAACTGTGGCAGCTACAACCAGTGTACGACCAGTACGCGGTTCTTACAGCTGACAATGATGATGATGATGATGACACCGTTGGTCAATCCTCTACCACCACGACCGTCTTTTGCCTAGCATGGACCTATAAGAAAGCCTCGAAATAATGCCATCAAGTAGCCGTACTCCGTCGTGAGATCTTCGTGAATGGCGAACCAGCGCTATTCTTACTGACAAGCTCGGTAGACAAGTCCAAATCACTCCGTGTCACATCTAACAGTAGATCTAGTTTCCCAAAGTATGAATGAAGAGTGGCCGACTTTCAGCAATCCCTTCCCCGTTCTCAGGAAAAGAACTATTGGACTCTACCGACTGGACTGTCCTACCAGTGATCACCATTATCCCTTTTCTCTCTGAGTAGCTCGCGGATTCACACTCGATTATACTTATCTGTGGCATGTTTTTAGGAGCATTCGCTTGCCATCCATATCCCTTGTCAATTTGTCGGGTTGGACACTGGTGGGTTCGTTCCACAACTGGACTTTTGGGACGTTTTTCCTAGTATCGGAAGCCTTTCTTTGATCCGGCAAGTGTTTGTTTGCTTTACTATATCATATCCTGACAGACACAGCTGTAATTTTCTCTCCTATATACCCTCTGTATTTCCTAAGAACTGTTTACAATCAGGCTTAGCCTAGTGAGGTTGAAACCGCTGTCACACTGTGTTGCTGCTTCCAACTAGGAATACAAAAGCACATTTGATGAGGGGCTACACCGTGCGAATTTCACCTGAAACGACATGCCTTTCACATTTTTTTCACGGGCTGCCTTCGTCCTTGTCATGTGGTAAAGTGCAGCAATCAAACATGTGAACAGGTATATCAGATGGTATTGTGGACTACTGTTCACTCTACACGTATGTCATGGCCAACAAACACTCAAGACCCTCGTGTTTTGTCTGGTTACGAGGTCTTCCATGACAGCGTGGTAGCCCCCAAAACGAATTCTTTGATCAGATTACAAGTGATTTATTGCTTTATCCGATGCGAGTAGTTCTTAAGAAAGTCTGGAACTTCGGAGTAGTAAGTTGATTACCCCTATCCTGGGGGATCTGATGAGTGGTTAGCTTATGGGACTCTGATTTGGAGATGTTGACTGGAAGGCGAGCCGCCGCATGTCTCATCCCGAGTGTTGCAGTCAGTCGTGGTCATTCGCAAGAAGCGAATATGGCTAGACCAACCGCCATGTACGTACGC